ATCTTCAGCACAACAACAACAATAAAAAAGCGAAAAGAAATTGGTTTTCTTCGAACTTGACTTCTCGCGGCTACAGAGAGAAGAAGCGAACTAAAAGAAAAGAAAAAGCAACGAAGAAACGTGAGATAAATTGAGACGAGATCGTATGACCCATTCAACTGAGAGCTTGACTTTTAATTGAAGTACAGAGGACGCGGATGGAATGTTGATGCACGTAATTTTGTAACACAATTTACCGAGGATGGAGACGTAATGTAATAGAGTTAGTATTCAGATTATATTTAATAGTTTATTACAGAATTCATGCTACATTCACTGAATAACTAAAAGTGTTTGAGATAATAAATATAGTGAGTTGAAGCTATACAAATGTTAATTGCAACTAATTGTTTTATAGTCTACGTCACTAATTGTACTACATCTTCTAATAACTCGTCATTGATAATTAACGGTTATTTAAGTTCAAAGAAAAGGCAATAAATGATTTTGTGGATAAAAAGAGCAAAAAAAAACGCTATTGTTCACAAATTAAAATTTGCACCGTTCGTTAATTACATTTTTCTGCAATTCCAGCCAATTATTGTACTTGAAACTTCCATTAACTTTTTCATTGCATTGCTCAGAGGAAGTGCATTTTTATAGAAGCGAAACTTTTGATTTCAAATTACATTTCTATAAAATTTTATAAAAAAAAAGAGCATACGTTTTTATAAGTCAAATTTATGGTATTTTTAAGTTCTTTTTTTAAATACAGATGGGTTTCATCGGTAATTACCGTTGCTCCACTTACAATTTTAAACTTGAATACTTTAAAATTGGCACTCAAAATTGTTCATATTTTCACGTACTTGCAGCAGATGAAAACGATTTGATCAATTACACAATCATTACAATTACATATTTGCTATTTCTACAAATAAAATTATCTTAATTTTTTACTAATTTCATCAAACATCGTATTTGTACCTATTTTTACAGTTGTTTGTTGCGTAATCAAACGTCAAGTTTCGTATAGAAATCATACATAAATTCATTATTTTTACAAAATAAAATTTCTCCAATTTCTTCGATTTCCTAATGTTGTTAATCATCCAAGAAGTTCGTTGCATAATCGAACATCAAATTCGCATGGATTGATCCACGATCATTATGAATCAATTACCGGAATTAGTTACGCCAGGGAATTGCACTTAGATGGGATGCAATGCGAACGGTGGTGATGTAACAGCGTACTTTCACCCGGAATTGGAAAAATCGCGTAAAACAAGGCAAACCTTTCGCAGGGAAAACTACGTACGAGAGACAAAAAAAAAACAACAAAGTCAGATGCGTTTGCGTAACACGCGCGCGTAATTTTCTTGATTGCGAGAGGAAAAATTGCGTAATAGGGTGAAGGCGACACGACACATTTTTTAACCCCAATTACATTTCGCATTTCCACACGACGCATTTCCATTATTCCGAAATAGATTAACAAACTAAATACAACGTAATTTCATTTTATCCTTACACAACTTTGTGCTTGCAAATTAAACTTATTTTAATATTTGCAAAAAAAAAATAATTTAACATAATTCAGATCTTGAATAAAAATAGATGTTATGGCAAAATAATTATAAATATTTATAATCACTTGCAAATGTAAACTCTTCACCTATTTATGTTAATAGGCAATGTGAATTTTGAATTTTATGCGTACACGAGCAAGTTTGTACTTTGTAATCTAAAAATAGAGGAAGAAAAACATTATTTGCATAGGTTTTAGAGAAATTAAAATAATTATTATTTCTACTTTGCTTAATTATTGGAAAATGCAATTTAAAATATAAGCGTTTTACGTCATAAATTACAATTAAACTAACAAATTTATTGTCTTTTTTTTTCAAAAAGTAATTTGAAACACATACATTTGGATTATTTCCAGAGTGTAATAAAATAACAGCAACTAAATATATGTTTACACCTTTTCAGTATATTTTTAATACCTTTTGATGAGATGTTTTTTAGGCACTCTGAAGTAGTCCCAAAGCATAGTTCCAGCTTGTAGTTATGGGACATCCGATGGGAATCCTCTTCGCGACGGCGGAGCTTTTTTTTTATTATAAATTTCGAGAGGAGCGCGAGGATAATCCTTGGGAAACGGTCGGGATTGAACTGCCGCAGAAAAGCGATTGGGGACCGGAGGAGAGAAAAAAAATGCGTTTATGTAATAGCTCCGCAGACTTTAAAAATGTATACGAAACGCACACGTCGCGACCAGACACTCTGCCTCTGTCCAAATGCCGGACGGAGAGAGCGAGAGATGAAACGCGTGTGTTGGGATGAGACAGAAATCGCAGGGAAATTAAGCAGGACTTTTCTATTTCCAGCATGGACTACTAACAACTACTACCACTACTACATGCAGTAAATGGATGGCTCCACTAGCGCGCATGTAACAACAACATCGAAACAAATTTGTGCCACGAAATAAAAACTAAATTTTAATTCTATTTACTTTCTAGTCGATTTACGCAACGGCCGGAAATTAACGTTAACGCTACACCATTCCTTATCTATTCAACTTGAAGAAAGCGTTTCCATATAAAGTGCATCGCGTTTAGGTATTTCGACCTTGATTTACTTAACCGAATCAAGTCTAAACAATTTTACTCCAATAATATTTACAAAAGTTACTGATTAATTGGATAATCGGTATGAATCATGAGCATCTCCATTGCCAAGGACGAGTTATGTGGCAACGGCTTTTCAGCCCGAGCGAAAAAAAAAATATAAGTCAAGTTCTAAAAGCTAATTCCTTTGAATAGATTAAACTGTTTTTTTTTTGGTATAATGCACTTCCTGCTTCGTTCAATTACATTTAAATTTATTAATACCGTACAATGACTGAACATATAGTATAGTTCAATGATTCAGCTAGAATTTGAAAAAGTTAAGTTATAACTTTTGTGATTTAAAATATATGATCAATTTATTGACTTTTAAACAAATTTCAATTAATTAATTGAGTAATAAAAATAAGAGATTCAAATTAGAATCCGGTTAAAATATAATAATTTGAACAATAAATTAAATTTAATGTTTTTCTCAACAAAAAAAAAAACGATTATTTTTGTATAAAAACTAAATTTGTATACTAATTATTTTGTACAATTAAAATTTAGTTTTTTTTTTTGAAAATTTCAAACCGGACTATAGTAAATATATTAACTTGAAATAATAATAATTTACATGCAAATTGTAGAAATGATATAATTTATAAATCGTTGTACAAACAACATAAATTAAGTTAATACGGTCTTATCATTTGTAAGAAATTCCATAATAATTAAGATGAGATATTCGCGTTATGAATCATGTGATTTTAAATAGAAACGGTAGACAACAAATTGAAACGTCTAGTTTAAACCTGACCTGAATTCTAAACCAAGTAAATAATAAAATACGCTGTTTTCTATTTTGCTTCTTTCGCGAGTTCCGTTACGCGGATTTGACATTTTCTATAAAAAAAAAAAGTTGATCAAAGTTCGAAATAATCATCTCCGCATATGGATATATAAATCTCGATGCGGACGATAATAAAATAAATTGTTTTTTCGAAAAAATAAATATAAATAATTGATGATGTAATTGCAAACAACTGATGTGTAATTAGTTAACATTTGCTTGTATTTAGTAAAGTTGTTGAATAATCTAGTGGTCTGAGAAAACAACTGTCAGATCAGGGTGTGCGTGTCATGCCTAGAAACAAAAGGTGGTTTGTTTGCAGCCCTCGACTCTCACCAGACAATCTTATTGGATTACGTAAATTGAAATGGATTTAATACAATAATTTACACACATCTCTTTCTTTTTTTAAATTGTATCACTTCCGTTTATGTAATTCGGATTTTAAAAAAAAGTGCAGTTAGCAGGCGGCGAAATTTAAGGTCAAGTTCAAGTTTAGCTTCCAGTTGATGCGGATCGAGGAAAATGTGAATGAGAAGATGAATGAAAAAAAGATACTTACGCACTGTTCAAATTCTGCCACACTTCCCGACGCGCACTTCGTCGCTCTTCTGCGTTGACAAGCAGCGGTGACCGAAAAAAAAATTAATAATAATAATAATGCCACCACTCGTCGGAATGTCGCACGTGAAAATGATGTTTTCACAGACGGAACGCACGATCTGTATTGGGAATCGCGTTGCCAACTTACGAAATCGTGAATGAATCATCGTCCTTTCCAGGATCAGTTTGTATGCAACCAAAGATGTTAGTAACTTCTTTTTTTTAAACGTAGACAACCGTTAATACGTAACTCAATAATTAGTTCAACACTCTTAATTAACACATATTTAACTGATAATTAAGTATTAATTAATAAATTAAGTTATATTTATAGTAAACTTAATAAATAATTTAAAAGTGCTTTAAAACAAGATCTTAAATTAATTCAAACAAGTTTCTACTGATTATCTTTAATAAAATTAATTAATTATGCAACTGATTGAATTTGTTTCTTAAGTATTTTGATATATATGCAAAGCATTTGCACGTGCTGAAATTACGTAAATATTTTCGTTTACAACATGTGACAGCTCCGTGCTTGGATTGTTGCCTATGGTCGTAATCCTGCTAATAGCGATTACGCAGCAGGAACGCACTTTACATATTTGATTATTAATTAAAACCGATTGAAGAGTGTATCGCACTTTCATATTCGAAAATGAAATATGTTATGCAAAGGGTCACGTATTCTCGATTCGGTCAAAATACATTATACAAGAAAGAAGGCAACTAATTTAAATCCTTGATGGGAATGAAAGTTTCGGAACAATGCATTGCTCACAGCCAATACCAATTTGGTAAAAATGTTGATTGGTAAATAAGAGCTAATGAACAGATGGAAATAAGTTGCAGATGTTGTTTTAACGTTAATAAAAGATCTATATATTTATATGAAATGTACAAATTCGCATTTACAGAATATACATGATTTGTTCTCTATTGGTGTATTTTTTGGTATTGTGCAGAGTTATTTGTTGATTCTGATGAGCTGGTTGTTTTCGTTGATCGAGTAGATTGGGTTGACGGGATCGATGTCTTCGTAGCGTAAATTGGAGGTGATTTCTCCTTCGATCTGTCCATCCTTGTTGGTGTAAGCTACCTTCTGCACGTTTCCATCGTCCTGAAGAACGTAGTATTCAGCGGCGACGGCGGTGGAAACAGCTATGTTCGGGACAAAATCTATTTCCTGAATTCAAAAGAAAAAAAAAACATAAATTTATTAAATATATATTATATATTACGTTTATTATAATAAATAGAAGTAAAAAGATGATTTCGAAATTTTGATTGATTTGTTAGATGTGTAAATTTTGTAGCTTACCTCCTGGGTGCTGGGTTTCCTGGTCCTCTTGATCTTCCTGGCGGTGGTTGTCGGTCTTTGGGTGGTTGTGGTCGTCGTCGTCGTCGTGTACAACTGTTGCTGCCTCTGGAATTGAGGAGCGGCGGCTCTGTTGGGCAAACGTTGAGCGTTGAAGTTGGCGCTCTTCGGAGCCTGCTGAATCCTGGACGGAATCCTCTTGTAATCCTGCTCGCTGATGGTCTTGTAGTCGGTCTGCACGTAACGGATCGGTTGCTTGGTGATCTGCACGTTGGTGGTCAACCTCTGGGGTTTGGGACGAGCGTTCTGCTGCCTCACATTCTGCGGAACTTGTTGCCTCACATTCTGTGGTACCTGCTGCCTCACGTTCTGCGGTCTCTGCTGCTGCTGGAAGTTCTGAGGTCTTTGATTGTTGCGGTTGCCCTGTCGCAGCCTTTCCGGAGCCTTGAAGTTGGACGGTTTGTAGTGAGGAAGCTGCTGGATGAACTGGTTCTGCCTGACGGTTTCGGTCGCGCCCGGATCTAAAGGTAAAGTTCCGCTTCCTTCCTCTTCGTTTCCAGGTTGTTGAGGACCGCCGTACTCATTTCCAGGTTGCTGAGGACCACCATACTCATTTCCGGGTTGTTGAGGACCACCGTACTCATTTCCGGGTTGCTGAGGACTTCCGTATTCGTTATCGGGTTGACCGTAGGCATCTTCCGGTTCTACAGCCGTTTCGATTTCCGGTTGCACCGGAGCTCCGTACTCGTTTGCTGGCGGTCCGTATTGGAACGTTGGTTCGGTGCTTGGGGCCTCCGTGGACGGTGGTCCATAAACGGTGTGAGGAACTGGAGCTTGGGTTGAGGGTGCACCGTAAACCGTGTGCGGAACGGGAAGTTCCTGCTGCCTCAGAGGTCTTCCTCTGATGGGAAGCTGCAACCTTTGACCTGCGGGTTTCCAACCGCTTGGAGGGTACGGCGGTAGTTCCGCCGCAACCACCGTCACCAAGAGCAAAAGACCGAATCCCTGAAACAAACCCCAAACGAATTAAAATCTGAAAAGTAATTTGAAATAGAAACAACCCCTGATTGGGTTGTTCGCTCACCTTCATTCTGCGAGTATCAAACTTGCACTACGATATTATAATAAATAAACGATTTATATATACAGAAATTAAAGGGTTATTAGTATGCCAGTTACGTACTCTGGCTCTGCCTTTGACCGTCCTACGTGCTGCGACATCTAGAGCCCAAGTTGTAATGTCTGCTGCTCTTTGTCACTCGTTCAATTTTTCTTTCTTCTTTTATTTTTTTGGTACGTCTCGGACTTTACATATTATGCAAAGGCCGGGTAAATAATTTATAGTTGCATACGAAAATCGCGTTTCGACACGGCTCCGGCACGTCCGCAAATATTCTATTGACCAATTGGGTAATTTGTACGGTCTTCATCATAGACCAAAAAAATTTTGCAAGCCCCCACGTTTCGTAAACGAAAAACGATTATATTTTCGATTGCACCGATTTTCGTAATTAACACACCAAACACAATGCACAACAATAAAACGCACATATATATTGTATATATATATAGAGAGAGCGACGTGTGCATGTGTGATCCAAATGCAAATGTCGCACACTTTTCGGCTGGACACACTTTCGTTCCACATTTTCAATATTAATAAACACCTTGCATGAACAATTACCATTACAAAAACCTACACAAAACAATATACTTCCATCATTAACTCATATAAAGGTAAATATAATATTTTTCAATAATTTTCATATTTTTTGGTCTAATTCTGAAGAAAATTAAACAATTACTTTGTGTGAAAAAAATGTTAAAAAAATCTTTATGTTATTATCTGAAATTACTATAATTGTAGCTTAAGTAATACAATTTAAGTATCTAAATGTATACATAAATATATAAAAAAAAACTGATGATATAATTTTGGTTTCGCTGTTTGGCAATTTCGGATTGCATGGAGATTTCTATTTGGCGAACAATAAAAAAAGTAAATAGTTTTCGCAATAATAAGTAAAATGGAATTCAAATGATGTGTGTGTGTGTATTACGATTCGAAAGAGAGAAGAAAAGTGGATTGGAATGAAAATTGGGCAATAAAATACGCACTAAAGAACATTATAACATGTCGATCGGGGTATTGATTCCGGACACTAATGTTCCAACATTACGAACGAAATTTGTTTTTGCCTGCAGTCAGCACTTTCTAACTTTTCGCCCGGACGGATTTATTTGGACAAATTGTATTTGCTTAAGCGAAAGCACTTCCGATCATGGAGCGTGTAATAAACGCAATATTGATGGTTTTTTTTGTTTCTGTCCATTATGTTGTTATTTTTTATTTGGTTCGAGACCAAACAAATTGCAGTTTAGGTAAAAAAGTAGGTTACAAATCTTATAACAAAGGAAATAGTTCAGAAATTGCGTAAAAACAATATTCTTAAGCACCTAAAAAGTAATTTTCTTTGTGTTTTTTTTTATTATAGACTTCAAAAAAATATAATTTATACTAATTAAATTTTATTTTCTGATTCAAAATAAGCAATTGAAAAATTGGGACAAAAAAAATATGTAATTTTCTCTGTTTTTTTTTGTTGCTAAATTTAAGTAAATCTTATGTATTTCCACTAATAAAAAAAACTTGTTTCGTTTTGTTAATATATTTACTTGCGAAATTAGTATTCGATTTGATATTGATTAGAAAGTGTATTGTTTTTATTATTTTTTATAACTTTAAGCGTTACGTAAATTTATAATTGATTTCAATAAATAACATTTAAATTTCATTATAAAGAAGATAATTATTAATTTTAATAGATTTACTACTATATTGTCTAATTAGACTAATTAAGTTAGATATATTTAAGTTTTAAACTAATTTTGTTTAGGCAACCAAAGTTACAAGTTTATGAAAATTCTAGTAAATAATTTGATATCAAATTATCCTAATGAATAAAATTTGTTTCTTTTACTTTAATAAATCTATATTTATGTTTTAGTTCAATTAGTTTTTTCTTTAATACAAATATCGAAAGTAAATTAAATCAAAATCTAAAATGAATTATGGAAATAATCATACTTATTGAAATAATATATGTAGATTCGGCATATTTTATTGTCGCAGACAGAAGATAAATGTATTGGAGGACAAACAAAAGGAGAAAAAAACGAAGAAGAATATATTTCGATTTAATAACATTGCTGCTGCTACTGAAAATAAAAAAGGAATTGCTAGATTTTATTTCGCTTCGATAAAGACGCTCGATTTCGTTGTTTACGCTGGAAAATGAGTTTCGTCCATTGAATTATGTATGGATACACTCGCAATGAATATTTGGTGGATGCGTCGGGTCGTAGCTGGAAACAAGTGAACAATTCCAAACAAAAAAAAGTAAATAATTGAAGGGGGGAAAAAAATAATGGACAGGTCGATTGTACGTGAGTCTTAATTGTAATTTCTCAGCAGGAACTGAGCAATTTGTAAATACTTGATGTTGGAGGAAAACGGTCCTCGGAGGCTACTCGAGATGGAATATTTCAGGAATTCAAGACGCCATTTTCTGAGAGGAAGAGGAGGATGAAGAAGAAAAAAAAGAATGTTTGTTGCTTTAGTCTTTTATTACGACTGCTGGATTTGCGAATGCATGGGCATCATCATAAATATGCTGATTATTTCGATGCGAGCTCATTCAAGCTGTAGCGTTAACGAGACTATTCAGAATGCAAATTTGATGAACTCCGGGAATCCCCTCTACCTGCTCTCATTCACTTACTCCATCTGTTTGTTTATTATATATCTCTATGAGTACGCGATGGTATAGCGATTCTTGGGTGGGTTTAAACTCTGATCTGGATGTGTTCGGGTGGGTTGCTTAATCAGGTATTGATGTGGTCGATTCGGGCACGTTGCAATAACATAAATTACGCTCATGTTCATGTTTCGGGGCATAAAAGTGTCCTCCCATGGGACTCCGAGAGATAGAGAGAGGTGGAAGGACTAATCTTATTTATGCGTCGCGCCCGGGGATAATTGAATGGACCCCTGTTTATCGTCGATATTTAAATTGGATTCGTTTCTTTGAAAACCACACTTGCTTTTAAATTGATACAAAACTGCCCACTTTAGCTATTATCAACAAGTTTTCTTTTATGTCGTATTTATTTTTTTTTCAGAAATAAATACAATAAATTAATATTTAGCTTATTTTAATCACAAATTGATTTGACGCACGAAACATGTCAATTAAATGACGTATGTCAGTGTCAAAAACGTCATTAGTATAATACATGTTTTGATCTTCAATTTATTTCTTACATGACTCATATAATTTGTATGACACCTGTCATTTTGTTTCATGTGTATAATTACAAGTAAATGAGAAAACAACAAAAAATGATTATTGAAATCATAATGAAATTCAATGTTAAATTTCATTTTTTTTTTATAACAAATGTCAAATATATCAATAAAATTTAGCTAGCTTTAATGTAAAGTTTGTATGATATATGAAATATACCATTTTGCTTTGACATTGACATATGTCAAAAATTACATTAATAATATTTCATCTAATAATAAATTTTAAAAAAATCTTTTTTTTTTGTATTCACACATAATTACAAGTAAATGAGTCAAGAACAACAAAAAATGTCATTTTACTATAACACATGTCAAAGATTACATAATCATTTTATCATAAAATTGAAAATTTACTTGTTTATTATTGAAATATAATTGCTGGTAAATGAGACAACATATGGATGTAATTTGACATTGACATATGTCAAAAATGTCATAGTTCATATTTCATAAAGTTCGATTTTTTTTATATATGAATTTAAATGAAACGACAAAAGTTGTTCATTACACATTTATAGGGGTTGTAAATTCCTTTAATGGTAAATTCACTGTAATTATTGTAAGTGTTTCCGCGATTTCGAAATATCCGTCTTACGTAATTCGCGTATAAATTTAAATAGAGGATCAACCCTCTTCTGCAAAGGAAGACTGCAAGAAGGAAGGAATATTTGCTGTGAAGGGTGGAAGACGAATTTCCTCCCTTCGGCAAACGTTTGCGACAGGAAACCGGATTCAGAGGGGCGTCGTTCTTAAACTAACCTAACCTAACAAAACCCTTTTATTCCAATGCATATTTACATTGGATATTTCCCATGGCAACAAAACCATTCCTTTTGTTTAATACAAATCTTGAATAACCTAAATGTTCTACCCAAATCAACATAATGGAAATTTACTTATATTTATATTAATTAATATTCGATTTTTTTCTGGTAACAAAATGGTTTTAATTGAAATTATGGCACATTCGATGATTTAATTAGGTTAAAAACGTACATCAAATTAACTGATGATAACTGTCAAAAGTAAAATTTGACAGATGTCTATTTTTGTATCGTCGCTGGGAAGCTCCTGCACTAATCTCCAAGTTAAATCATACATCAGTGTATACATAATCCGCAAGATCCTGGGTACAAATCTTACTTAATCTCGCATTACAGAAGCGGGTTTTGACCCAAAACGACGTCACCCGTTCACCGTCCAATATCTGTTTAATAAGGGCACGACGAAACAAATTACACGCTTCGACAATTTCATTTTTCATCCCCCCAATTAATAATAACCCCGACATTTTGCAAACTTGTGATTTATTCCAAAACTGCAATAAAAGAAGTGTTTGCAAATTGCATCGTGAGAATGAAAACTTACGGAGTGAATCATTGAGACGGAAGTTAAATCTAGGAACTTCCTGTCTTCTCAAGCTTGAAATATTTATTTAAATAACTTTTTCACCAAACTTCAATTTGAAGCTAATGAAACGTATAATAATTAAGTTAATTACTCTACTTAACTAAAACCAAAAAGAATTTGCTTCATTTTTAGTTGTTGATAATTTAACAAAAGAAATCTGTTTTATATATGAAATATGTCATTTTGTTATGACATTTGTGACATATGTCATATGTCAAATAACTTATTTTTTTATACACTTCTTTTATGGTGTTAAAACACAGCGTAATGTGAATTCCGGTAGCGTTTGCCAAATGCAACGCGGTTTTTCTATTTTACTCA